AAAAAAAAAAAAACAAAAAACCAAGCAAACACACCAGGAAGGTCAGAGGGTAAAGCACTTTTTGTGCAAGCATGAGGAACTTGAGTTTGATCCCCAGAACTCACATGGGCATGCTAGTGTGTGCTTGTAAACTCAGAGATGAGTGGGTGAGGACAAAGCAGATCCCTGGGGCTTGGTTGCCTAGTTGATGAGTTCCAAGTCACTGAGAGCCCCTGTCTCAAAATAAAATGGACTGTGTTCCTGAGGAAAGACAATGGAGGTTGTCCTCTGGTCTCCACACATGTATGTGAACATACCTGCACACACATGAAAGAAATAAAGGAAGGAAGGATCAGAAGAGGCCTACACAGTAGTGAAGGTTCTCTCTGGGCCTGCTGCCTCTGTGTAATGTGTATCTCTACATGACTGTCCTCTGCCTCAGTTGAGATGGCTTCTGAGTGGGGGCATGGTGGTGCAGATCTGTAACCAACTGCAGTACTCAGAAGGCTGAAGCCTGAGCATGGAGAGTTTGTGAGCAGTCTGTGCTGCACAGTCAGACCCTCTTTCACAAAAAGAGAATGTCCCTCACTTGCCTGTGACTGTAAAAGGAAACTCTCTTTGCCAAAGTCCCACCTTGCCTGCTGTGCTCAAAGGGAACTGCCTTTGACGACTTCTCCATTCACAGAGGAAGCTGGAGCTGTGCTTTCCGCAGAAGAAGAACCAGTGACTGGGACACACATTTTGTTTCCTGATTGAGAGAAGACAGTGGCTTAGCAGCAGTCTGTATAGTCAGCCTTAGATCCTTTGGTACAAGGACAGTGGTCACCAAACCAAATGTCCAGGCGGGTGGACATCAATTTTGTCTTCCTATGACTGTCTGCTCAGTGCCTTGGTCTGTGTTGGATCCTGTATGTAACAGAACCCTAATTAAACAGCCGAGAGTGAAAAAATTAAATGAGCAGAAAGATAGCTTTGTCACAAGACTTCTGCATTTGGGGAGCTCCTGTGTAGAACAGAAGACATTTGTCAGTGAGGACACAGGCACCTGTCTGTTTGTGCAAGGTTTTCTTGTATGAATTGTGGTGCTTAGGCTGCATCTAGCTAGTTATGATATGTACTGGCTTTCTTAGGTGGGTATGGAAGGGAGATCAGCTAGGAAAAATCAATTAGAGGTAACAGCTCTCAGGTAGGTAAGGAAACTAGTCACAAATGCTTGAAAGTTAGAAGACTGTACTGGGAAGGACTTTGAGCATATTTAAACCGGATCAATGGTTTCCTCCACTAGCCTTTTTATTGGACAAAGTCTTTAAGCAAAAGCATGTATACAAAGATGATCACTGTGTTAGTATTTGCTGAGGATTTTTTACATCAATGGGGGATGGTTGATGACATGGTGTGACAGTTTCTATCGATTGCTAACTAGACAGGATCTAAATTAATCGCCTTGAAGATGAATCTCCAAGTCTGTGAGGCATTTTCTAGATTATGTTAGTTGAGGTGGGAAAACCCACTCTAATGTGGGTGGGGCCGTTCCATGGGATGGTGTTTTGAACTGCATGAAAAGAGAAAGCAGGTTTAGCGCTGGCATCCATGTCTTTCTGCTTCCTGACTGCCATTGCAATGTGACCGGCACATTCTTGTGCCTACTCCCATGTCTCCCCACCACCACAGACCATGTCCTCTTGACTTATAAGTCAGAATAAACTCTTCCCTTTTAAAGAGGCTTTCATCAGGGATTTTGTCATAGCAACTGGAAAACTAACTAAGGCACATGGTATGGAGTCTAACCATACACGTGATTAAAGAGAACCTGGTAGTTTTGCAAAGAGCTTGTACGTTTTTGGCTTTTGGTTTTTGAGATAAGGGCTCATATATCCCAGGCTGACCTTGAACTCACCAGGATGGCCCTGAACTCCTAATCTTCCTGCCTTTTCTTCCTGAGTTCTGTGTCTACCTTGCCCAGCGACAAACACTTTCAAGCAGTTGCAATGTGCAGGCACTTGGTACTGGGACAATAGAATGAATCACATTTCTGGCCTGTGAAATGTCTGGTTGATCTGACAGGAGAAAGGATCATATCCATTCATTCAGGAGATCTTTATTAGTAACTACTTCCTGCTTGACACTGTTTAGTCTCTAAGATCAGCAGAAAACACAACCAAAATCTCTATTACAGAGTTTGTATTGTTGTCAGAAGATAATGTTACATTTTTAAGTCAAAAAAGAATGTTCTAGACTGTATATTTCTCTGCTGAGCATATGGAAAAAATACCCAAATCAATAATTATACCACAGGGTATTTCAGTTTTTCCTTTTACATACTTATTAAAAATTTGAATTTTTTTTTGTTTTCCTTTGTTTATCAAAGTTAAATTAAGCATTACAGCAATGTTCTCCTGTTTCCTCTCCTCGTCAAAGAAAATAGGTCAAGGCCAGTGGCAGCAGAAGGTTGCAACAAGCTGGAATTAGAACCCTTGGTTTTAGACCTGTAGTCACTTAAAATCAAGTATTTGGGGTGGAGTTGGTGGGTGGTACAGAAGAAAATGAGGGAGCCAAAGGAGAGAGTGAAAGGGGCCCAGGGAATGGCAAAGAGGAGCTTCAAGCCTTCGGAAGGAAGAAGGTTGAGAGATGGCCCCGTGTTTAAGAGTGGTCGCTGTGCAGTCATGAGGACTGAGATTAGAACTCAGCACCTGTGAATAAGACAGGAGTTGACTGCATGCCCGGAACCCTACTGGGGAGGGCCGGAGACAAGAGGACTGCTGGGGCTTCCTGGCTTCCAGCCCAGCAGAGAAATAGGAGAATGGCTGAATATACTGTGTGATAGTTTATGTTGATTGCCAACTTCACAGGGTCTAAGATCATCTTGGAGACAAATCTCCAGCCGTGTCTGTGAGGTATTTTCTATTTTGGGTTAATTGAGGTGGTAGACCTACCCTAAACGTGGGTGAGACCATTCCATGTGCTGGTGTTCAGGGAGAGATGCTGCATCATGGAAATAGTAATAGAGGAGGACACGTGATTCCCCATTCTAGTCTTAGTATATGTGCCTGTAGGCACATGCACTGCATACACATGTATGTGTATGCCCACCCACACTCACACAACCACAACCACACCACAAATAAAGCTTTAAAAATGTAACACAAAATCTAATTCACAGTAATATGAAAAAATAAAATAAATAAATATATAGAAATAAATGAGAGAGAGGAGAGAGCAGCCAAATTAAAAATGAATAAAAAAGTAACACACACACACACACACACACACACACACACACACACACACGGAAAAAAAGCTGATGAAATGATTCAGTGCAAGCCTAATTACTTGAGTTGGATGCCCAAGCCTCTGTCTACTTGACTTTGATTCCTGAAATCCATGGTGAAAGAGGAGAATGGACTCCTGAAAGTTGTCCTCTGACCTCTGCATTAATACTATAGCATTCATGAGCCTACGCTCACACATACTCATCATATACACACAATCATAATAAGTTAAATTAAAAAGTTAAAAGCTTACAGCAAGTTCAAGCCTGTCTAGGATGCATGAGGTTTTATCTTAAAACAAAAACAAAACAAAGAAATCAAAGGCTGGCAAGATGTCTCAGCAGTTAAACACATTTGTTCTATAAGTATGAAGGCTGGAGTTCAGAACCCAGCATCCATGTAACAAGCTGAGTGTCTTGTACATGTCTATAACGCCATTTCTAAGGTGGTTTTGTGTGTGTGTGTGTGTGTGTGTGTGTGTGTGTGTGTGTGTGTGTAGGGAGGGGAATCACCTGGCCTTGCTGTTTTTCAGCATAGCAGAGCAAATTTTTGGCAAGACCCTACCTCAAAAGAACAAGTGGAGAGGGATAGAGATAGTCACCCCAAGAACTTCAATCATGTGCATAGACACAATCAACACACATGAGCTGGTGGGCACACACACACACACACACACACACACATACACACACACACACACACCAATAAACACACACACAAACAAATAATTTTAAAAATCAAGGAGGTTGTAGCCCAGCTCGTACTTGCTGACTATGCATGAACGCTGTGCTGAGTGCCAGCACTGCATTATGGGGGATGGTGGAGCACTTCTGGATGCCAGCGTAAAGGTGGAGGCCAGAAGATGAGACATTCAAGGTCATCCTTAGTATATTCCAGGTTATCCTTTGCATGAAGAATGATCAGAACCAGCCTGGGCTACCTGAGACTGTCTCGGAGAAAGAGAGAGAGAGATTGAGTGTGTAGCTTGCCCTTACAAGTGCATAGGCATTTCCTATTAGACCACACAGGTTCTGAGAATGGAGGTTTCCCTGCCCATGATTTACAGATTTGTAATTTCCAAGACAGAAGTTGTAAGCTGTTGGACAGTTCCCCTGGTAACAGCAAGTCAACTGATATGAATCATCCCCCGCCACCTTTAAAATAAATATAGCATATTCTTGTGGAAATAGCTTGTTGACATTTATGAAAACACTATACAACTTATAATAGTTTCATTTCTAAGCTTCTGACTTGAGTTCGAGAAATGTAGTCATTGTATAATTCCACTTCCAGCAACATGCAACATCACTGTCAAACAAAAATAGGATTTGGAACTCAACCTACTCCCAAAGGTGATCTATTGACTTATAGAAATAGAGCAGAACCCAGCTATATCCCCAGATTTTTAGGCAAAGGGTCTGGATCCTTCTGGGGAGCCCTAGAGTAGCCGTTCTGAGATCCACCATGTTTCTGGTTTTCAGTTGAGAAGTAGGGAGAAGCAGGGGGAAGGTGACCATTTTATCTAGGGGTCCTCAAGGCTGAGGAAGGCTTAGGTTTCAGTTGCTTTTCAGTGGGAGACCTGTGCAAAGAGGAAGTGTGAGTCA